AGGGAAAGAAATAAATCCCTACAAAATTTCTATACAATTATGCTTGTTTCCTAATTTAGAGTAAATTCAATCATATCTTTATCAGTTACAAACCATAGTAATCACAATTTTATCATATAGAAAACTTATAAATGACTTGTCATTTTATTCCTGATTATTAAAAAAATTCAGACCCCTCCCTTCAAAACATATTTCTAAGGGTCAGAAAATGTACACCCAATAAGGCAGCATGGGATGAAGAATTCGAATAAGGAGCTTCAATGCATCCAAGCTTTATTATTAAAATTTTACAGAATTAGTATAAACGCCCTCTATGCATAAAATGACAAATAATGGAAGGCCTATATTGTTCTCCAACTTTATCATGTTAAACAATTGAAAAGATGTCTACAAGGATATTCAGAAAGACAAAAGTTATGGGTATTTCTCACAACATCAACATTCTCATACCCTCAAGAACAATAATACATTTATCAAGTACTTTCTTCTTCTAGAGAAGGGTGGTTTGTAATTCTGTGCAGTCATACCTGAAAATTTTCAAGTAAGGGTGTCCGTATGTGTTCTGCCTCTGCTTTCAGGCATAGCATGTGTGCGTGATGCATGCATGTGTGTGTGTGAAAGAGAGATGTTTTCACATGGAAGGATACAAAATGATTCTTAGGTTAAACTACCCTACAAAACAATCCCTTTTAATGATATTCACTAAAAAAAGAAAAGATTGATATTAAATGTAATAAATTGAAAATTATAGACAGTAATTAATGTAAAAAAAAATCCGGCATTAAAAGCTCGCACCCTCTAACAAAATAAATTCATGTGTAGTAATTACAGTTAAATAGTGCAAAATGAGAAACGCCCATGCAAGTCATGAATGGATTTTGTTTAAGCAGAAAAGTTTGTACAAAAGTACTTGCACTCCCATTAGACGGAGGAATACAGCTAGGTAATTGTTTCAAACGAACACGTCTATTCCATGCTAAATGCCATCTCTAGAACATAACAAACTACTTGTATAGAAGCAATCACATATATAAACAGTCTAACGAAAGATTCAAAAGACGAGTACTCATATGACATGCTTCCTAACTGCTGTTACATAATAATTATATAAAAAAAAATATTTTTATTTGTTTGTTTTTCGGTTTTTAGTAAAACATAATATTTTAGGTTTATATTACCTTCATGCTTATGCAAGCACGCAACAGTTCATCAATTACTTAAAATAATAAAGCATAAAAGATATTTAGTTTTTCCATTATATTCACTACATTGATCTTATTACTAGTCGATATGAAATCTCTAACACTTCTTCCTTGTGTCAAAGACTAAACATATGCAGGTGATCTCATAACTTTCCAATAACAGGCTGCCCAATTGGCCTAACAACAATTGTTACAATAAAGATAGACTCTATATTATTTTAGAATGTGAGTTTAGATTTGATTTAACCCCACAAAATCGGCTTATAAAGTAAAAATCCCCTTCATATACACTACTTTGGTCTTGCCATCAATTGATATGAGATCTCCAACGGTCTAAAGCCTGAATAACAGAACTATATACTGCAAGCAATGATCTTTTAAGTTTTAACATATTATACTAAAGCATTGTATGTAAAAGATATGCAATAAATGCAAACAAACACAACAGGGGTTAGAGGTGGCAGGCAAAATCAACCAATGGAATACAATACAGAAAAAAAGGGAAGAGCCACGGAGGGAAGTATGTTGATTTGCTTGATAGACAAGGAACACTAGCTAGCTGTATATACTCCAAACAGTGTTCATCATTTCAAACTCAGCCTCCTCACGTTTTAAGGGTTATTTATGAAACTTATTAGAAAACAAATTTCAGTAAAACCTTAAGCTGCCTAGAAGTGGTTTTAACTTTAAAATGTATAACGCACACCCTTTAAGCAAGAGCCTTCTTGAGTTTGAAATTTGAAGCAAAGAAAATGCATGCATGCTCAAATTATTTATTATGAAAAATGATGATAGTAAAGATCAAAGTCCTAAACATTTGTTTATAAAGGTTTTGCTTTAAATCATTAGTTCTAAATCTCTAACAAAAACAAACTTTCATTGCTCAATAGCTCATGTTTTTAGGTTGAGTTACTTTGATGGAAACATTTCCATATTTAAAAGAAAAAAAAAAGTTATATTGAATATGGACAGATGCAATCATGCAGTGTATGAAGTAAAAAACAGATATAGGTATTCTGCTTTCTTGTTACATTTTCTTCCCCTCTTGGCCAGTTTCCTTCTTGCCTTCATATTAAAAAAGAAAACTTCAATTATTTGTATATCATTTAGAATGCACCAGTTCCTGTTCTAGACTAAATGTCTATCTCCAATCAAGAAAAGTGATAACAAAGCATATATAGATGTGCACAATCTATGAATAAGGGTTCTGGTTTACCAGCCAGCATAATTTTAATAAGTGGACAAAGTAAGCTACCTTGCACTCTTTTCCACCATTTCACAAGCTAGAGAACCCAGCTTACAGATGTCAACTTTTGGAATATCACTGTAGATATAAAAGTACTAGTCAGAAAAACTACAATGATTATCAGCTTGTTAAAAGAAAACCATGAAATGAGAAATATATTACACATGATGAGAAAGCTCTTGAAGGATCGTGTCTACATCTGCAAAATGTTTTTCAATCAGCTGCACAGCACAATCTAATCCCCCAGTACTTTTCAAAAAGTATATCCGACCAAGTTCATTCACTACCCCCTGCAAGTAAAGGCAAGAAAACACAGCTTAACATGTGAACAGTTTTTCGCAACATTGATGCAGAAGATCATTAGGATGTAAATTTCTGTATTAGATGTTGATGCAAGTTCTCCAAATAAAAAAAGTATATTGAAAATTTTCAGAAGAAGTGTTCAAACATTATTTGAATTATAAGATAGTGAGACAAGCTTGAGTCTCTCCATATACAGAAGAGCTAGTAATAACATTACCATAAAAACGATGAAACCTCAGAGAAATCCTTTTTCTAATCAATTTAGCATAGATCAGATTTAAATCATTTAATAAGGATTTATTTACTTCACCAAACAATGAATACGTGTATTCTTGCAGAAGTCTCGTCAGAATTTTCATTCATTTTTTATTAAAAAATGTTAAAAATGAAGAAATGCATCCACCCTATAGAAGAAAAACTAGACGGGCTTTCATCAGAAGTAATTATTTTGCAAGAGTGGTGCCAACTTTTCATTGCAGATTTTAAAAAACCAAGTGAGTAGAAGACAAATAAATGTTGTCTGGTAGCGGAGCTTAATAAGTACCACACAGAACCTGACAGATAATCATGTCTTTTAGCATTAATCCTAATAAAAATAGCCACTAGAAGTTACAAATCAACACTCATGCCATTTTCAATGACAAATTGCAGCACATTTCCCTTTCCTCTTTTTTCTAACCACATCCATTGGAAAGTGTGTAAAAACTAAAAAGTGTCTGGATTCTTTGTATATAGACTAACCATAATAATCTGTGATTCCTGTAATAACTATGTCAACTATAAACGGTGGAGCTTCCACTGTGTAATTCAAACACATGGATATCACCAAAGGCCTCCTCTCTTTTTTCTGATTCAATTTGGTATTTAGAGCCTGAAAGAGGGGTAATCCTCAACCATGTTTCCCCCAATGAACCCACTTCATATTGGTGACTGAGTCTTCGTAACTAAATTGGAAAGTCAATGAAAAAGGCAAGGCCAATATTGCCCATCCAGGTCTGCTTCTTATTGTTAAGGAGGTTTCTCTTGTACCCTTTTGTTCTTGCCAATAACCCTTAGCAATTAGTAGATGTACTTGGCTACATGTCTCACTTATTTGAAATACTAAGGCTTATTTGTATACAAGCTAAGTGTTTTTGAGAGTTTCTTTACTGAAAAATACTCTTTATTTTTAATAGAAAAACTCTCAAAAGCACTTCTAAGCTTGTATCCAAATATGCAATAAATACAGTTGATGTATAGTAAAATGGAGGTACACACTTACACGTATATGTTGTATATACATTTTTTTTGTTTTGAAAAGGGAAAAAGAATCTGATAAATCTCTATTTACGTATATACAACATATACTTACAAATGCATTACTCTAACTGCCTTTATACATCAAGTGTAATATACAGCAAATATTTTTTGTTGTATTTCAAGTAAATGGGATATATGACTAAATATTAGCTACTGATAGCTAGGCATACCAGTAATGCCAGCTTTGTGAATCTGTACTTCAATGAAAATTATCAAGACCATTTCAATGCCATTATGTTTAAGACTTGGTGCCACTTATCCCATAAATTCTAACAACAAAATTTGCTCGAAGAACATGGACACAAATTCTGACAATCAATCTGCATGGAAAGGTTTAACTCATAGTTGGAAGACAGTTTTTTAGATGTGGTGAAAAACACTAGTCATATATTTACATTAATATATTTGCATTATTCACCATTCTTGCATGTACCGGTGAAATCATTTTCATTATTAGATTATATTAAATATGAAACTTTTCTTTTCAAAATCATTTTCCTGATTAGCCTATATTAAATTTGAGACTTTCCTTTTCAAAATCATATTCCTAACTAACTAGCTTATATTAAATTTAGATTTTCTTTGTCAAAATCATATTCCATATTAGCTTATATTAAATTTGAGACTTTCCTTTTCTAGGAATTTTGCATTTTTTAAAAAGTTGACAAATATGAATTTAATTCTGTCTCCTTTGAATTAGTCATTTAGCCTTTCCTTCTTTTTTTTAAAAAAATAAATGCTACTCAAAAAGGTAAAGCATAAATAGCTATGACCTCCCCCTCACCCAAAAGAAGAAGAAAAAACACATAGTTAATGAAATAAAATCATTTAGATCTGCAAGGTCAGCTTTAAATCAGAACAAAATGACAAAAGTTGCAAGCGCCGATTTGCCTATTAATGACTCTTAATACCGTGACAAGGAACAACCTTTCTAAAAAGTTAAATTAGAAGCATATAAATGGTTCTATATATCTAGCACCTCATGAGTTGTAACTTGATAATTAGTTACCTATAAGGAACATGTCTGCTGCCCCAGGAAAGATTCATCCATTCTTTAGAATTTCCAAAGTAAAATCCTATGGCGTGCTAATAAGGTATTTGTCTCACTCCCAGTCTTCGGTATTGTTTATTACACACAAATTACACAATGATCACACTTGAAGCCCACATCTTACAAGGCTTGTTGGTATGTGTCATGGAGTTCAGCTACTATTACTATAGATTTGACTCACCTTATCCCCCCACACTGTAAATAATCCGCTCAAAACTAGTTCAGGCTAACTCGAGTGTTGAAATAGCTTTGCAAGTTCCATAATTCCCATAAAGCACGGACACAACATAGACACTCTAAATCAACTGATATCTAAAATATAAGACATTGAGAAATTGCGCATGCATGCACACACAAACATACGCATAATCACACACACAGAGAGAGAGTAATGAAATAAAAATAGGAATAACAAATAAAGATTTATATTAATAATCAAGATTTGCATATTCTTGTATATTCACCGTTTTCTTATGATAAGGAGTCTCAAAAAAAAATATATTTAGAATCATTATTTTAGACAAAAGAACTTGGTGTCTTCACAAAAAATCTTAGAAAAAAGAAACTGATATATCTTATAAGAAAAGTATAGTCACTTTTTTAAGCCAGTTTTCTAAGTTTTTGTTATGGTAACAAGTCTCACCAGGGTGAGACAAATTATTTTTTAATATCTTTTATTATATTTTAAGCTAACTTTCCCAAAAATTAAAAATTGAATATTTTTTAATAATATTAGCGTGTGTTCATTCATATAGAGATATTATCCCATGTGTCTTAGTTGTATAAAGGTGTTGACTTAAATGTCCAAGACAACAATTTTTTTAATTGAACACTAAATGAGAAGTGTCTAACATGAGTTAGACGACTGTTGGTGCTAGAAACATAGGTGTTAGAAAAGTATCTAACACTGCAACACTTCATACATGCTTCATAGTTCAACTCAACACCTGGAGTGGAGGCCATTACTATCATAGATCTTGGAATTATTACCAATTATGAAACAACACTACCATGTTTTTCCTCCCAGCCCCCAAAAAATCAAATATCAAATATTACATACAAGGGTAATCTGCATAACCCAATGGTTTTGATGAGATAGTCAAACATGTTTAGAACTTACAGTTCTCGGTGAATTCAAATTACAAGACAAAAGCATTATTATAAAAACCAGTTTTTATAACAGAATTTCTGTCTAGCATTAACAAAAGGGAAAATAATAAGAAACAAAAGAAGTCAAAAAACTACTACAGGTTGATGGCATCCTACCCTTCCTAGAGTTTGTAAAAATAATTACACAGCTTATTTTCCTAAATGGATTTTTCTTTCATTGTAAAATAAAAGAGATAAAAGCAAATTATTGACATCTTTGACTAAAACTCTACAAGAAACCCTACTTCAACAACATCTAGCTAATCAATCTATTGTTGGGCAAAAGCCAGAATTTAGCATTGTATCCCACCCCTGGTCCCCATCCCTGCAATTTAAACTAATAAGGACTTCCGATTGCCCACCTTTGATTTAAAATATTTTGCAACTAAAAGTAGTTTTAGAGAAACCAAGGAATTCTCTACATTACGAAATGTCAATAATAACTTATTACTAATTAAGAAAATTATAGAAGAGAAAAACTTTCGAAGGCCAAATATCACCTTCAAAAGGAAATTTGAAATTGTTCATACTTGTATATATTTTGTAGGTCACTTGATTTACCCCTATAAATAATAAAACCACATAATATGAAGTTGAATTGGGTATACATAAACAAGTTCATAGCTACACTGAAAACTGATTATCGCATGATCCTGAACCTAAACCTGTGGCCAAGGCATATAAAATAGCAACTTAAATTACCAAGGCATGTCATCAGAAATTACAACCAGATATGCTTCAGCTGTAGATATCATTAGGGATCCATTCGTTTTCACTGATTATTCTCAAGATTGATAATATTCCTCTCCATCTGTTTAAGAGTTGCAGAATAGAAAAAATAATAAGAACATTAGAAGATTTTAAGTCCCTACTAATATCCGGACATACAATGACTTCAAGTAACAGAACATCTGAGAAAACAGCATAGACAAATATTAACAGCAAGATGGCTCCTATTGAAATTTGCACATATATTAGAAAGATAATATTACATTATTAGAGTATGTTTCGTGATTAATCTGCATTCTTCACTTCACAGCAAATATTAACAGCATATCTGAGATAATATTAACAGCAAGATGGCTCCTATTGAAATTTGCACATATATTAGAAAGATAATATTACATTTTTAGAGTATGTTTCATGATTAATCTGCATTCTTCACTTCACACAGAAAATGCAAGGAATATATTCATACATAGTAAGCCAAAAATCATAATAGATGTGAATCTTGTGTATACCCCTTAAAGTTTATGATTTCTCAAACTATAAGAATTGAATAGGGACACAAAATAAAAAATCTTTTTTTTGTTGCTTTGTCTTCTTTCCTTTTTTTTTTCAATTGAAGAGAAGTTACTACAAAGTGGTAAAGATTAACAAGGAGAATAAGATATCCTCCTAGCATAAAGCCATGAAAAAATCACAATGAACATTGCAAAAAATAGCAAAACAAAAGAGGTCTCAGTCCCACTTCATGTATTAAATAAAGGCTATGAAAACAATTATGTCCCAGAGCAACTCTAACAACAAATTTTCTCGCTTATCCAGTAATTTCATTCCAAACAAGAGAACCAAGAAAAGCACACAGTCACCACAAATTGCCCTCTCCCTGACCAAAAAAGTAAAAAACTCTAAACTAAAAAAAAAAAGTTAAGTGATCTAACATATGCAGCAACTGTTGATCAATATACCAACCATTTGAAAGTGTTTCTAAATTTGGTTTGCCTTTTTTTAATCTTCTCAATTGAATCCTCGTATGTTTTAATTTTCTTCGATTTGAACATAAATGCTTTAAATTTGGTATTGTAGAAAAAAGACCAAATTTAAGCAAATAGAAAAATCAAGGATTAGTTCAGAAAATTAGAAGTATAGGCAGAAAATTGAAAAATACCATATCTTTCGAAGAAAAGAACACTGTTTTCCAGAGTTTTTATGTTTGAGTCATTTGACCTTCCATTTTCATGTAAAGACCAATCTAGATTCATATATATGAAACATTGCACCAACTGCAACTAACAAAACCCACCAGAAAATCAAAATGAGTGTATCAGTAATTGTATAACCAAAATATTTAGTCATTAATATAGAGGAAGAGAATAAAGGAACTGAAAACAAATTAAATTTCTTTTGGGACCACTTTTCTGTAATTATTATTTTTAAATAAAAATGAAACAATGAACATGCAATTTACATTGAAGGTCTTCATTGAACTTATAATCAATTGATGATTATTTTAGAAACAAAAAAGAATGAATCTATTTGAAACCACTTGTTGTTTGGGCAACAAAATAAAAAACTTCACCAAAAATAAATCATTTCCAATACCAACCAAGAAATTCCAGTTCACAATTTTCTTTTGTCTTCTTATGTAAGAAAGGGACAGCCTTAAATGGAAAATAACATGGCAACAGTAGGCAAAAAATTCAATGCATGTTTATTACAGAATTAACCAAATCATACTTGAAGCACCACAATCACAGTTATGAAACTGATTCACTAAAGCTTTATTAAAAAGAATAAATTAAAATTATTACCCCCCAAGAAAAAACTTAGCACATTAGTAACAAGATGAAAGATCAAATGCAATCTTAACATCTGTAACTGACAATTACTGACACTCTTTTTTCACCTTGCTGAGTGTGTAAATCAAGGTAGGTTGTTCAGTACACAGGTATCAAGATGCATCCGTATTGCATTTAATCAGTAAAAAAATAGAAGACAAAGGATAGTGTAATATAATATCGGTGCGGACACAAAATAATAGTTAAAAATTCTTTCAACAATTTGTATTTAATAAAGACAAAAAAAAAAAGAGGCACAATCATCAACACCAAACACGGAAAGTCAAATGGGTTTAGTTCATCAATTGAATCATAATAAAATTAACTATATATAAAAATGCTAGGTACAACCACTGTTATTGACATGAAAAAAAAAAGAAACTGCATTCAATCTATCTTTGAAGCCAAATCTAAAGTGATATTGACGTACCTTTACAAGGGTTTCAAATTTGAGCCTCAAATGAGAAAATCTGTTCTTGGTCCAATATAAAGCCAGGTAGCAACTGAAACATCTCAAGGAAGGGGTTTATCTTTACATTAAAAAAAGGTAGAATTGAACAAAATCTAGGGTGTCTAGCAATAAGGGAAAGAACAAAATAATTGATTGCTATGATCCTTTAATTTATTACTTTTATATACATTAACAATTGTCCAATGATACAATATCCCACTCTCTAAGTACCTGTGTGTAACAATTTGCTATTCTGCTATCATAATTTCAGTAGTGTTGCATCATGGGTTTAGTAAGTAGTATTAAGACTATATTTTCCAAAAATATAACACAATTCTTCAAATAGTATATAGAATATGATCCATATAGAACACACTTCATAAAATATGCTTAGGGAAACAGATGCCAATGTACTCTTTCTTTGATAAACAAGATCCCGATACTTCCACTTTGCATAATCAAATGACTTATTTCATAACAGGGATTTTTTAACTGTTGCAAATTTGTGTAATAAGTAATCATTCAAAATGGAATGATATTTTGGAGGTACTGACGAGGCAAAGTGGATAAAATGATAATGGATAAGGGCAAGAGCACATAGATAATAGATGCTACCTATATGCACATAACTCGTTGATTTGGAACATAGTTTGGTGAAAATATAACACGCATCCTAAAAAGCCAGACTGATTGTCATTCATCCACAATAACCTGTAAGTTTCTCTAATGTCACATGTAAATATAAACTACAGATTCATGATGGAGGAGTTTCCTTACCCATCCTTATCTTTCTTCTCAGAAGCATGAACAAGTTCAACACATGCACGTCTTACACTCTCTGCACCAATACTGCAATGGGCAAGGAAAAACAGAGAAATTTATTACTCAAAAATATCTAAACAAAAACAATAATCTTGTGCCACAAGGTGAAATAAGCTACGTGGATCACACAAAGCCATTAGGACCAGTTAAAAATTAAAACCAAAAATAATTAAATTAAAAATTCAGGTTTATACACATAGCTCAGTATCATTGATGTGATATAAAAAAAACACATCAACAATAAAACTTAACAATTTCTTTTTAAATCCAGCAAGGTCCAGAAATGACCAACAACAGCCATGAACCTATCACAAAAATCCAATTCCACACATTTTATTTGCCACTTGGGAATTAAGCGTACAAATGGAACAGAAGACACCCGTGTGAGAAATGACACATTTAACATCTATTTTAAATTGTGGACACAAGAAATTTAATCACCGAAGGTATAAAACACCAAATGAAAATCAAACATCTACATTGACATACATTTCTGTATCAGAAGGAAAAGTTATCCATACATGCAACATTGCAACTACACAACGGAAACTCCTCTTTGAACAGTAAACAACCAAAACAAAACACAAACAGCATCAATCAAAAAATTATCACCAAAACATTTGATAAGGATGGTAAATTTATCAAACACACAAAAATTCAGTAAATATCAGTTAAGTGCTATCATTACTTGCAGGTTTTCGCATAGAAATCCCGAGCAAGCTCACCAACTCGCGTAAAATTAACACGCTCCTGCTCACTGCACACGAGGAAAATGAAGCAGAAAGCAGAAATCGATAAACGAAGCGAATACATTAAGAAACCTAAATTGATAAGAAATTAGGAAAAGCTAAAAAAAAAAGAGTTACGCGGTTAGAGTTACATTTGGCTAGTGAGAGAAGAAAACGTGCTCCTGCAATAAAAGCAGTAGGAGGTGACAGCTCTGAGGACGGAATCGCGGCGATGAGGTTGCAGCCTCATTGATTGCAGGTTGAGGAAATCCTCGTTCACCATTCCCTGCGAAAATTGAAAACGCGATTAGTGAGAAGTGAGAAGCTAGTGGTGCGAATGTGCGAGAATGAAGGCGTAGCTACCTCATCGTACATGGAGCGGATCAAGCTGTGAAGCTGGATTTTCAGAGTGGTTATGGCCATTTAGGGAGAGAATTGAATTGAAAGCGAGAGTGAGAAGTGAAAATGAATAAATGATAGAATGAATGAATGAAAGAGCGAATAAAACAGGGTTTGGAGTTGCATGTTTTCGGGGTTCTTTCTGACGCCTCGGCGGTTACGTCACATTGGTCGGTTCAACGTTACATGCACTCAAACTTGGTCATCATCATTTCATCAATATACTCATTACTCCAGGTGCGTTTCTCTCCTTCTGGCATGTTTAGTCAAACAAAGAAACAGAAGAGAGAGAAAATGCTTCTTACAAATTCATTTATTTTCTTTCTTCCTTTCATTTTTTTCTACAATAAATGGTCAAATTAGTCTGAAAATTTTATCCCGTTCTTAATTTAGCTTCTAACTTTAATCATATTCAAAAAAAATTCCTAAAATTGTAATATGTATATGTTGTTTATTTAAATCATTTTATTAAAAAATTAAATGAAAGTATTTAATATATATATATATATATAGAATATCAAAGACATTAAAAAAATGAAATTTTTGGAAAATGAAAATAATAGATCTTTTCCACAAAAGAAAAATTATAAATAATTTATCTAGGAGAATTAATTATGAAAATAAAATGTAAATATAGAGAAATTAAAAACTATTTTTATTTATAGATTTTAGAAAATAAATGATAATCCCACCAAAGTTAGAGTTTTACATTGAAATGTTAAAATGTATATCATCGATGTACAATAAATATAAAATATATATTATTAAAATAAAATTTTAACACCAACAATATTCAAAATATTGTTTTCTTAATAATCTTCATGCTACCTTTGCACAATGAATATTGAGTTTGTTTTATATTTTTTGAAAACATTAAATGTATTTGTTTTTTTTTATTTTTTTATAAAATACTATTTTCAAAATTTATATAACATCAGTTTTTTTTATAATAAATCTTTTAAAATATAAATAATATATTTTATTAAGATTTATAATAAATAATGAAATATTATTAAAACTTATAAAATAAAAACTGAAACTTAATAAAGTTTTGTAATTTCTATGTTAAATTGTCCTTTTAGTTTTTCTATAATATAAAAATTATATTTTTAATTCAAATTTATTCTCTCAATTTTATAAAATATGCATTTTTGACCTCTCATCAAATATTCATCTACTAACCTTTAAAATTACGACTTTATTAATTGTATTTTTTTCTCATTTTTATCATATTTTCATCTTATTTTATTATTTTTATGTGATAAGAATGAGAGTTAATAATAAAAATTGGCATAAATGTTATTAACTTTAATGGATATGTCATATACTTAATATTAGATTTTTTTTTGGTGTTGAGATTATGACTAATTTTAACAATTAAATAAAGATTCAACAAAAAGATCAAAGTTGCAGATTTTATAAAATTAAAATTATAAAATTATAAAAAGAGAACAAAATTTGATATTATAAAAAACCAAAAACACAATTTAACATAATTTTTAATAAATTTTAGTTAATTGTTGAGGGTGTATTAGAATAAATTAGTATTATTATTTCTCATCTTATATTTTCAGTGGTCAACAATAAAAATTTATCGTTAGCATATTTTTAAGAAAATTATTATAAAAGTCTAAGTCAACAAACTCATTATGCATGATATAGTTTATAATTAGATGATAATATAAAATTATTTCTCATATGATATTGTATTTCTCTTTCATTCACACGTGCACACATACATATATCGATGTTAAATTTTGTAATAAATATTTTTTATTTAAGTTTAATGAAATTACAAAAAATGTATTTTTTGACATAATTGTATTTTTAATTATTTAAGTGTTTTACTTGCGTAATTTTATTCTTAAGTATTACAATTGTGTTGATTTTGGCTCCCCCAATTTTTATTGAGTAATTTTAATCTTTTAAGTAATATAGTTATATGTTTTGTCTTTTAAATACCGTAATTATACAAATTTTGACCTATTTAAAGTATCTCAAAAGTTGTATAATTACAATATTTGAACGACTAAAATCATGTAATTATGATAATTGAGAGATTAAAATTGTTCAATTAAAAATTTGACAACCAAAATTATATATAATTGCGACACTTGAGAAACTTGAAAAACTAAAATTGCACAACATGATACTTAAAATACTAAAAAAATATATTGAACCCTATATTCTTTTTATCGATAAGAATTATGGTGAGAACAACGTACTTTGAATTTAGAACCTGTTTTATCCTAGCTCTCTTACAATTAATATACTAAGAGAGAAATTGACTACCCATAAACATAAATACTACATTTATTTATAAAGTCTAATTAATTAATTAAGAATGAGTTATTATTATTATTATACAAATATATTTATATATCAATTTGTTGATATGGAAGCATATTTAACGAGAACATGTCTTATTATGAGAAGTGAGACTGTGAGAAGAGTAAATTATAATCATTAAATTATAGATAAAAATAATTAATTATTAAAATTAAGACTCAATTATAGACATTTTATTATAATATTATTAATATTATCCCTTTAAAAACTATCAACATCATTGTCACCCATCGTTCAACTGCCACTAACATTGCCATTACCACCACTACTACCATCATCATCATTATTGTTGTTGTCGTTGACAACAATGATAATGACAATAATGACAATGAAGGGGGCAATAATGTCTCCATTATTATCACCTTTATTAGTGTCACATATTTGGTCCATTTTTTAAATCTTGGATAGGGGTGCAAGCATATATAGATAAACCATGAAACTGAAACAAACTCGAAATGATCTAAATTAACCCAAATGAAGAAGAAGTTAATGTTATCACTTGCTTAAGATAGTAATTAATTTCTGTCACTTATGTTCAGTAACAAATATTGTGTTTTTAAATTGATAATATTGTAACAAGACAACATATTTATGTTAAATTTTATTTTGTATTAATATTGATTAGTTAAGTTGATAACAATGTAGTAAATCAATAAAATTATTTTAGAATTTAGTTTGTATCATTATTTATTTTATTGGTTGATAACATTACATTTGTAACTATATCAAATAATTTATATTTATTATGAAATATTTAAATTTTATAAAGAATAAATAAATTTAATTATGTTGACCTGATTGATCAAACTCAATTAAATCCGTTTATGATCGAGTTGGCTTGGGTTTTATTTAAAAAAATACACAATTTTGACTCGATCTAATCTGCTAAATTTTGATTAAATCAGATAACAGATTTATCCAAATCCAATTCAACCTAACTCATCTACTTCCCTTCCTAATTGTGAATCTTTTGATTTGGTCCATTTTTAAATCTAAACCCAATATAAAAATGCTGGAAGAAGGAAAATAGAGAAAAACAACTCAAACTTTTTGTATAATTATTTAGAGACAATTAAAAAAAAAAAAAAAAAACCTGTTATCGTCAACCAAACACGACCAAGGCTAAAAGATTAGCTCCATTCATTGATGTTGGATTCTTTTGGTAGCGGGTACCGAGTCCTCTTCAGCCTCATCACCAGATACCTATTGGGCTTGGCCCAAGGCTTTAACCTTTTCACGTAAGACTGAGTGGAGTCCAGCACTTGTTTTAACTTTCTCTATTAGTGTGAGCCCACCCTAGCGTCTATTTGTTTTTTCTTCTCTTTTCTGTTTCGACTACACTTGGTTGGTTAAGCCCATAACTTTTTATATCATTAATAATAAAAATAACAACAACTGACAGAAAAAAAAAAAAAAGGAATACAACATAAATATAAAAATTATTTTAAATCAAGTTTTATTATTTAACAAAAAATAAAATCAATGGAGTAAGGATTAATTAGACACAACCTTTTTCTTTCTCTTCAAATTTTTAGGATACAAGTTGTGAAAATTCTATGGGTATAGAGAGTTGTTTCAACTTCTTACCATAATTAAAAAATAATAAGAATGACATTTTATATGCATTTTAATTATTTTATTGGTTTTTAATTCATTATTCTAGTGATTGAATTATACTAACGTAACTTTTATCTATTTATTATATCAGTCGACAAGTTTTAATTAAATAATTGTTTTTTTCAAAATATTATTAGATTGAATTATAGATCATATATAATTTTTTTATATTAATATATAACTATTTAGTAATTCATTTATATAAAATAAAATTGGTGTGATATATATATATTTTAAATTATACTAAAATATGAATAATCTGATTACATTTCTATTATTATTTAATTTTAACAAAATTTAATATAAAAATAAAAAATTATAATTCAACATTAGATTAACAAAATTCACTGTTATATAAAGTCATTAATAATGTAATAATTAATAAATAAATAAAAAGAAAATGGGTATATTTAACTTGATTCCTCGTGCACAGACAGAGAGAATGAGAAATAGTGACAATTAATATTAAAGTAATATAACTGCTATAAAAGAGTGAGTAAAAAGTAAAAACATTTGATTATTGTATAGCACCCTACAGCAAACTCTCCAATGCTTTTTTCATTGATTCTCTCTATGAATAAACTAAAATAAATAAATATTCACTAAATGGGATTGAGGACCAAATTCAAGGTGGTGTCGTATCAAACGTGAAAGCAACATTTGTGTGCAGTCTCACGCTTAATACCAAACAAAATTCATCATGTTTCTGCTATGTATATATATAGACGAAGATTTCATTTATTTCAGGAATAAATTTATTTAATTTTATTTCATTTAATAATTCATATTTTATATCAAATTTTAATAATTTAATCGTTAAATTTTTAATATATAGATTAAATTTATAAATTTTTTAAAAAATTAAAAATTATTTGATATTTTATTTCATTAATTCAAATTAATATATAAATCAAAAATACATTTCATTCTAAGCACGAAAAATTAAATTAACACATGCTAAAAACTCATTTTATTATGTCTTAAGGAGTTTGATTTTACATAACCTCGATCATATCCCAGGACTCACGATTTTACTATTTAATTATTTATGTCATTTTGTTATCACCTGTTAGTTAGACCGTAATGTTTGAGGACTCATTAACAGTAGAAACTCAACAAAAACGTGTTTTTTTTTTTAATTATTTTTTTACTGACACCCAATAACTTGATCAAATCAATGTGTAGTATATATGCATTTGTACAATCTTTATGCATGATTCAAACTTCATAGTATAGTTTTTGCATACGCGAGGAACGCATTTACGATGTGATAAATTCATTCATAAGGTTCTCCTTTTGCGTTATAATTATTGATATCTACTTCAT